AAAGTAATTTATTTATTTTTTAATAATATAATCTTTATAAAGATAATAATTAAGTATTTTGTTATAATTAATAATTATCCTAATTATAGTTTAAATTTTTTATATTTAAAATGAGATGTCTATCCCGTATTTGATTGTGTTTATCTATAGTTAGTTACACAAATTCAAAATGAAGCTTTAATAAGTTGTACTTATGCACAATTTACTTGTAATCTTGAATTTTAAGTAATATACATTAATAAGCAATACTTTATGCATAAAAAATATTTTTTAAGATTTTTGTCAAATACTAGTGTATATATATATATATATATATATATATATATATATATATATCAATCTTAAATAAAAACCTTTCGTAATATAGTCTTTAATCTGTCTTTAAGTAAGTCAAAGAGGCAGGTTCAACCACTACTTTCAATTTCTAGTGTAATCAAACAAAAAATTAGTATTTTTTTTTTTATAAATTATGTACTATATTGACTTTTTATTCTCAATTTACAATAAAATATTGCATCTCGTTGCATTGCATGGGTAAACATTCAAATGATAACATGACTATTAAGAAAAAACACAAGAACAGTTATATCGCATATAATTTTACACTGAAATTACATGTGGTCACAAAACACACATAGTTAACAGAAGGGTGGTTGGCTTCCTGTGAAAAAACATCCATTTTCGTAAGATATGTTATGTAAACCTTCACAGTATAATGTAGACTTTGTGTGAAACCAATAAATATAACTTTATATTGTATAAAGTTACCGTCTTTACAATGAACTTTTCAATAATATTTGATTAAAATTATAATTTCTCACGTGATCCCAAGTTACGTAAAATCTAAAATTTAATAGGAGAGCTGGTAGCCTGGTACAGAAGATGCTACGATCTCATCACACTACAACAAAATCGGGTTTATAGGACATTCCCAATTTCTAAGCGTCCTAATAGACCTCTTTATAGGACTTAGTTTATATGACCAAAAAAATTAAGTGTCATATCTAAAGGTGTTGTAATAAGTTTATACGACGTTTTTTTACGTCGTAATAAGTTTTTTATGACACTTTTTATATAAAATGTCTCATTAGCAACTTTATAGGACATTATATTTAGCCGTCTTATTTGAACCTACCACTATATATGTAATATATATATATATATATATATATATATATATATATATATGAGAATGCTATATTAGGAACCTGAGAACCGCCAATAGCATGATACCTGACATATTCATCAGGAATATGGATGCTTTATTCATCATGAAAATATGATTTATTATGAATAACACATCTATATCACCATGAAGTTGTGATTCATGATAAACAAGATACAATTTCATTGTCAACATGAATGTGTTATTCATAATAAATTTTCTTCCCAAAGAGGGACACATGGCGCTTTGTAGGTGGTTCCCAGGTTCCAAATTAATTTTAGATTCTTAATAGTACTCTCTCTCTCTCTCTTCTATCTCTATCTCTCTCTCTCTCTCTCTCTCTATATATATATATCTATATATATATATATATATTTATATATGTAGATGTGGGTCATGTAATAATAAAAGTTAGGGTGAAAATGATCAAAACAATTCTTCTCGTTTTAATATAACTTCATTTTCTTTCAAATACCTTAAGTCTTGCAACCACATTATTTATCTTTATCTTTACTTTTAGTCACTTTCGTATGCATGAATTTAATAAAATTTCTATCATAATGATATAAATATATAAATAAAAGTAGTTGAAGTTATATGAAGGTTTTGTTGTTCATAGTATTTTATTAATGGTCTTCCAACATTAATTAAGGTTTATCACAAAGGTGGTGCCTGATTGATTTGAGCTTGTCTCCAAAGGTCAAAAGTACCAAGAGGTCCCAGGTTCAAATCTAATGAGGAATAAAAATCCCCTTGTGGACCGTCAGACCGTTTCAAACTGGTAAAAACTGTCCAGTTTGACTTGGTTTGATCGGTTTGAAACAACTGTTTTTTAACACTCATACGGGGTTAGAAAAACGATTGTCAAAATTAAGCCTCTAATAAAACTTTATTTATAAATTAAAACGTACTAACCCTTCTTTTTAAATCCAAAATATTTATAATTTGCTAAAAATTAAAACTAAATAAATTATACAAAACGAATAAGTATGATATTCATATTGTTATATATATATTTTAAATCGATTAACACTGTATTTTATTATGTTGGTTGTTGTATTCATGTATAAATGTTACTATACAAAAACTTGATTCATCCATTTTAGATATCAAACCAAAATATTATTTGATGTAACAATTTCTATTCACATATATGTTATTAAAAATAGCAACATCTATTCATGTATGAAACGAGAATGTTATCTAATGTTACAATATCCGGTTCACATATGAATATAGAATGTTATTTAATGTAAAAGAATCCATTATATGAATCTGAAGGTTGTATTATTTTAAAATCGACTTTATGGTCAGTTATTTCTTATTTGAACCTAACTCTGTCTCTGTCTCTTTGTGTGTGTCTCTATCACCACATGTGTGCGTGCGTGCGCACACACACACACACATATATATTGTATAAGTATTATGGTGTGAAAAATCAGTAAATTTGTGAGAAGGAAGTTCCAAGATCACAAGTGATACAACATGTCCAAGAGGGACATGGGCGACTTGGTCAATGTGACCAGGTAGTCCTCACTGTATTTAACCTTTTTATTTGAACATACCAATATATATGTAATATATATATAGGAGAATGTTATGTTAAGAACCTAAAATTGATTATTTATAGGAGAAGGTTATGTTAAGAACCTAAAATTGATTAGGAACCTAAGAACCGCCAATAGCATGAGACCTGACATATTCATCATGAAAATATGATTTATAATGAATAACATATTTATATTCATCATAAATTTGTGATTAATGATAAACAAGTTACAATTCTATTGTCAACATGAATATGTTATTCATAATGAATTTTCATCCCAAAGAGAGACACATAGCTCCTTGTGGGTGGTTCCCAGGTTCCAAATTAATTTTAGGTTCCTAATGGAAGTACTCTCTCTCTCTCTCTCTCTCTATATGTATATATGTAGATATATATATATATATATATATGTAGATACGGGTCGTGTAAGAATAAAAGTTAAGGTGAAAATGATTAAAACAATTCTTCTAACTTAATTAAGTCATTTAACCACATCATTTATCTTTATCTTTACTTTTAGTCACTTTCGCATACATGAATCTGTTAAAGTTTCTATCATAATGATATAAATATATAAACAAAAGTAGTTGAAGACTTAAAGTTATATGTAGGTTTTGTTCTCCATTTTCACCATAGCTCTTTTTCTCATTGGAATCCAACCCCTATGTATATATGTATATATATATATATATATGTGTGTGTGTGTGAGTTATTATACAACCCTTTATATTTGTACAACCAATACAATTCAATCTCAACCATCCATTTAATTTGATGAATATGTGATTTCATAAAAAAATTGATTGTTTCATAATATAAAGTATTGATTATAATTAATGAGCTCTAGTCATCTTCCATAAATATTCAAATCATAATAAATGAACTCTTATCATTTTCATATATATCTCAAATGATTGAGTTGCATTGGTTATACAAATGGACATGATTGCATTTGAAATATACCACATATATATATATAAAATATGTTTGTGGATTAAGGTTTTCCTGTAGCTGGTTTATGGCTTACTATACTTCTTCCACGACTTCAATTGTTTAGGTGTTACATAGCAATTAGGTATGCATGTGAACATCTTGATCTCTGATGGTATGGGAATTTCATTGTACTTAACGCAGATGGCAAGCATAATATTTCTTGATATTCCTGTTGGTACGGGATTCTCATACGCAACAACGACTCGTGCCACTCATTCTAATGACCTTCAACTCGCTAAACACGCCTATGAATTTATGAGAAAGGTAAAGTTTAGATGTGTTCATGGACAGTATGACGTACGTGTTAGATCCGACCAATTAGAATAACGCACTACAACAAAATTGGGTTTATAGGACACTCCCAATTTCTAAGCGTCTTAGTAGACCTCTTTATAAGACTTAGTTTATAGAACCAAAAAAACAAAACGTCCTATCTAGTTGTAATAAGTTTATATGATGTTTTTAAAAGTGTCCCATTAGCAACTTTATAGGACATTATTGAAAAACCGTCCTATAAAAAAATGAGTTTATAGGACACTTTCTCAAAAGTGTCATATAAAGTTGCTAATGCGACACTTTGTATTAAAAATGTCCTAAAAAACCTTGTTAAAACTCCTAAAAGCGTCATATAAACTTATTACAACACCTTTAGATATGACGTTTTCTATTTTGGTCATATAAATTAAGTCTTATAAAACGGTCTATTGGGACGCTTAGAGATTGAGGGTGTCCTATAAACTCAATTTTGTTGTAGTGACATATTGAAATTCAAATATATTGGTTTTTGTGTTTGCAAGTTTTGTTTACATACAGAAGCATTTTGTAGTGGTTAAAAAGTCATCCAGGGTTCGTTTCCAACCCTTTCTACATTGGAGGAGACTCGTACTCTGGAATACCAATCCCTGCTATCGCACAACTGATATCAAATGGTAACCCTTTTCGGTCTTTCCTTTGTTTGTATTATTAGCACACATACGTCGATTAAAATGCAACGGTGGTGCCATTCGTTATAACAAGAATGTGAGAACTTGAAAATTTAACATAACGTACCGTATCGTATCTTGCAATTTGTATGCAGGAAATGACGTTGGCAACGAGCCTCGCATCAATATGAAGGTGTTTATTGCTATTCCCTCAAATTTTACATTATGAAAAATGTGACTCATACATTACGAGCTATCAATTATATGTATTCATTCTGTAGCAGATCTTTTACAAGAGCAATTTGGATTGACCTTTGTTCCACTACAACAAAATTGAGTTTATAGGACACCCCCGATCTCTAAGCGTCCCAATAGACCGCTTTATAAGACTTAATTTACACTACAACAAAATCGAGTTTATAGGACACTTCCAAATTCTAAGCGTCCTAATAGACCTCTTTATAGGACTTAGTTTATAAGACCAAAAAAATAAAGTGTCCTATCTAAAGGTGTTGCATTAAGTTTATGTGACATTTTTTGATGTCGTAATAAGTTTTTTAGGAAAACTTTTAGTATAAAACGTCTCATTATCAACTTTATAAGACACTATTTGAAAAATTGTCCTATAAAAACAAGTGTCCTATAAAAAACTGATTTTATAGGACAATTTTTCAAAAATGTCCTATAAAGTTGCTAATACGACCCTTTGTATTAAAAATGTCCTAAAAAACTTGTTAAGACGCTCAACACCTTTAGATAGGACGCTTTATATTTTGGTCATATAAATTAAGTCCTATAAAGCGGTCTATTGGGACATTTCGAGATTGGGGGCGTCCTATAAACCCAATTTTGTTGTAGTGTTATAGGATATATAACGTTCTATCTAAAGGTGTTGTAATAAGTTTATATGACGTTTTTGGTCGTCTGAACAAGTATTTTATGACATTTTTAATACAAAGTGTCGTATTAGCAACTTTATAAGACACTTTTGAGAAAGTGTCCTAGAAACTGAATTTTTTATAGGACACTTGTTTTTATAGGACAATTTTTCAAATAGTGTCCTATAAAGTTGCTAATTGAACGCTTTATACTAAAAGTGTCCTAAAAAACTTATTACGACGACAAAATGCGTCGTATAAACTTATTACAACGCTTTTAAATAGGACACTTTAGTTTTTGGTCCTATAAAGTGGTCTATTAGGATGCTTAAAATTTGTGAGTGTCCAATAAACCCAATTTTGTTGTAGTGTTAATTGGTTTTTGAATTTTTATAAGATACACTACAACAAAATTGGGTTTATAGGACACCCTTGATCTCTAAGCGTCCCAATAGACTGTTTTACAAGACTTAATTTATAGGACCAAAATATAAAAAAATGTCCTACAAACTCAATTTTTATAGGACAATTTTTCAAATAGTGTTCTATAAAGTTGCTAATAGGACGCTTTATATTAAAAGTGTCCTAAAAAACTTATTACGACGTCAAAAAACGTCATATAAACTTATTGCAACGCCTTTAGATAGGACAATTTATTTTTTTGGTCCTATAAACTAAGTCCTATAAAGAGGTCTATTAGAACTCTTAAAATTTACGAGTGTCCTATAAACTCAGTTTTGTTATAGTATTGATTTTTGAATTTTTATAAGATATCATCGTATCTTCTTTCACATCACTTCAGTACAATTAGTTTTGTGCAACAGGGTTATGTGCTTGGTAACCCCAGGACCTTTCCAAATGAGAATAATTTTGACATTCGTTTTGCTAATGGTATGGGACTTATTTCAGATGAACTCTATAAGGTTTGTTCTATTCCTATGACTGCTATCCCCTAGTTTTGTTTATTATTTCGTTACAACAAAATCGGGTTTATAGGACACTCCCAATTTTTAAACGTCCTAATAGACTTCTTTATAAGACTTAGTTTATATAACCAAAAAAATAAAGCGTCTAACTAAAGGCGTTGTAATAAGTTTATATGACGTTTTTTTGACGTCGTAATAAGTTTTTTAGAACACTTTTAATATAAAGCGTCCCATTAGCAACTTTATAGGACATTACTTGAAAAACTGTCCTATAAGAAATTGAGTTTATAGGACACTTTCTCAAAAGTGTTCTATAAAGTTGTTAATGCGACACTTTGTAATGAAAATGTCTTAAAAAACTTGTTAAGACGCCCAAAAGCGTCATATAAACTTATTACAACAAATTTAGATAGAGCGTTTTATATTTTGTTCCTATAAATTAAGTCCTATAAAGCGGTCTATTGGGAGCTTCCTATAAACCCAATTTTGTTGTAGTGTTTTGACATATGATTCTCTTCATTGCCCATGTCTGTATAGTCGTTGCTCGATAGCTGTCATGGAGAGTATCGATCAGAATATATAAGCGTCAACAATGTAGCATGTCGGAAAAATCTTGAGTCATACGAACAGGTTCTTTAACTCTTTTACATTGATCATAAATCGATCTTGAGAGACACAAAGAAAAGACACAGAAAACTAAACCATCAACTTACTTGTAGTGCATAGATGGGATAGAAAAACCCCATATTTTGGAACCAAATTGTAGTGCTTCTACATTGCCAATCAAACTGCCAAGTGAAATGCAATTTGAAGAGCAACAACCTTTTTCTGGATTCTACTGTCAAGTAAGTTTCTGTACTCTCTAATCCTTACTATAACGAAATCGGTAAGCGTCCTAATAGACCGTTTTATAGAACTTAATTTATAGGACCAAAATATAAAGAGTTCTATCTAAAGGTGTTGTAATAAATTTATATGACGCTTTTGGACGTCTTAACAAGTTTTTAGGTCATTTTTAATACGAAGTGTCGCATTAGCTCAAAAGTATCCTACAAACTCAATTTTTTATAGGACATTTGTTTTTAATAGGACAGTTTTTCAAATAGTATCCTATAAAGTTGCTAATGAGACGCTTTATATTAAAAGTGTCCTAAAAACTTATTACGACGTCAAAAAAACGTCATATAAACTTATTACAACGCTTTAGATAGGACATTTTAATTTTTTGGTCCTGTAAATTAAGTCCTATAAAGAGGTCTATTAGGACACTTAGAAATTGGGAGCTCCTATAAACCCGATTTTGTTGTAGTGACTCTAATCCTTATTACCCTTAAAACCCTTACCACCACATTTCTTAGAGCTAAGTTAATGAAACACACTACAACAAAATTGGGTTTATTGGACGTCATCAATCTCTAAGCGTCCTAATAGACCGCTTTGTAGGACTTAAATTATAGGACCAAAATATAAAGAGTCTTATTTAAACGTGTTGTAATAAGTTTATATGACGCTTTTGGACGTCTTAACAAGTTTTTAGGACATTTTTAATATAAAGTGTTCCATTAGCAACTTTATAGGACACTTTTGAGAAATTGTCCTACAAACTCAATTTTTTATAGGACATTTGTTTTTAATAGGGCTGTTTTTCAAATAGTGTCCTATAAAGTTGCTAATCAAACGCTTTACATTAAAAGTGTCCTAAAAAACTTATTACGACGACAAAAAAACGTCATATAAACTTATTACAACGCCACACTTTATTTTTTTGGTCCTATAAACTAAGTCCTATAAAGAGGTCTATTAGGACACTTAGAAATTGGGAGTGTCTTATAAACCCGATTTTGTTGTAGTGACAACTAGCAAAGTGAACCTACTTGTAAGGCAAAGCAAGTTATTTATGGATGCAGGAGGATCTTAACATTCTAATGGAATATTGGGCTAATGATGCCAATGTTAGAGAGGCTCTCCATGTTCAGAAGGTATTCCTGTATATTATACTACACGATCCATAGAGTTGTAGTGTTGCTCACAGATTCTACAATAACACAGGGAAGCATAGGGCATTGGGTAAGATGTAGTTCGGATTTACGTTTCACCAAAATACTGGAGGATGTTAGACCTTATCATCAAAATCTCAGCAAAAAGGGTTTTCGGGCTCTCGTATATAGGTCATCATCTTTTTTTACAACATAAAATGATGTCACTACAGCAAAATGGGGTTTATAGGACACTCTCAAATTCTAATCGTCCTATAGACCTCTTTATAGCTACTTAGTTTATAGGACCAATAAAATAGAGTGTCCTATCTAAAGTGTTGTATTGAGTTTATATGACGTTTTTTTGACGTCGTAATAAGTTTTTTAGGACACTTTTAATATAAAACGCCCCATTATCAACTTTGTAGGACACTATTTGAAAAACTGTCCTATAAACAATTGAGTTTATAGGACACTTTCTCAAAAGTGTCCTATAAAGTTGCTAACGCGACACTTTGTATTAAAAATGTTCTMAAAAACTTGTTAAGACGCCTAAAAGCGTCATATAAACTCATTACAACGCCTAAAAGCGTCATATAAACTCATTACAACGCCTTTAGATAGGACGCTTTATATTTTGGTACTATAAAATTAAGTCCTATAAAGCAGCGGTCTATTGGGACACTTCTAGATTGGGGGCATCTTATAAACCCAATTTTGTTGTAGTATGTTGAAGCATGTAACTGAACTTGTATAAGTTACAACAGTGGTGATCATGATATGGTTATTCCGTACCAATCAACTCATGCATGGATAAAAGATCTGAACTACACAGTCACTGATCGATGGCGATCCTGGAAGCTTCGCGGTCAAATTGCTGGGTAATGCATGTTACATTTGGTTTCTTTTCCATGATATAATCAAATGTATTGAAGTTGTGTTATGGTGTTTGAATAGGTACACAGAGAGTTATTCCAATATGATGACATACGCTACTGTGAAGGCAAGCAACCTAAGTGTCATTACAACAAATTTGATTTTATAGGACACCCCGAATCTCTAAGCATTTCAATAGACCACTTTTTAGGACTTAATTTATAAGATCAAAATATAAAGTGTCATATTTAAACGTGTTTGTAATAAGTTTATATGACGTTTTTTGGCGTCTTAACAAGTTTTTCAGGACATTTTTAATACAAAATGTCACATTAGCAACTCAAAAGTGTCCTATAAACTCATTTTTTTTATTAAACACTTGTTTTATAGGACATTTTTTCAAATAGTGTTCTATAAAGTTGCTAATGGGACGCTTTATATTAAAAGTGTCCTAAAAAACTTATTACGACGTCTAAAAACGTCATATAAACTTATTACAACGCCTTTAGATATGACAATTTATATTTTTGGTCCTATAAATTAAGTCCTATAAAGAGGTCTATTAGGACGCTTAAAAATTGAGAATGTTCTATAAACCCAATCTTGTTGTAGCGTATTATCATTTGAAGTGAGAATAATTGTTGTTAAGTGAAGTAGTTTTGTACGATTGCAGGGTGGTGGGCATGTTGCCCCTGAGTCTAAGCCTGAAGAAAGCTTTGCGATGTTTAAGAGG